TCCAGAATCAGCTCATTCAGCTGGGCTGGGTGCAGTGGCTTGTGCCTGCAACCCTAGCTATTCAGGAGGTTGAAATCTACTAAAGATAGTAGTTTGAAGCCAGACCAGGAAGGATAGTCCATGAAACTCTTATTTCCATTTAACCAGCAAACAAGCCAGAAGTGAAGCTATGACTCAAGTGGTAGAACAGTATCCTTGAGCAGAAAAGCTCATTGACAGCACCCAGGCGCTGAATTCTAACCCCAGGACTGGCACAAAGAAAAAAAAATCAGCTGCCCATGTCATTGTAGCCCCTCTGTACGGTATTTTCACAATAAAAAATAAATTAAAAAAAAAAGAAATCAGCTGGCCACAGGCTACTGTGGAAAGAACTCCATAAATTGGTGCTTTGGTTCACATACCTCTTATTTCATATATTACAACCTGCTGTATTTAGAGAATGCATTTTGAAATTTATCCATTTTTTAATAGTTTCTGTAGAAAGAGCATTAAGGTCATCTTTCCTAGAAATGGAAATTTTTTGACTCCATGAAGAAGACAAGTTGGTACTAGTGACTTACTGTCATAGATCCCATTTATGATACTAGGTCAAATCTAAAAAAGAAATACAATTTTCCGTTTGATTTGTTTTAGAATCTCAACAGTGGGGACAACCTTGAGTACTTGTTTTGTTTTCTGAGAGGAAGTGGTCAGCAATGAGAGAATATTGTGAGGATCAAAGCCACTTACAATTATGCTGGGAGTAATACAGATACCCAGAGCTATTAGATTACAGTTCCTTGAATATCTCATCTATTTTTAAAATTTGACCTTCTATAAACTCTTTCTTGTTTGATGTATAGCAGCCTAGTTCCTCCTCCTCCTCAAATGAAAACCAAACGATGGAGAAATAAAGATGAAAGAAAGAAGGGGAAAGAGGGACAGAAGGCTAAAATGAATGTGGGAAAGAATAAGCTCTGTATTCAACATAACAATGGGTATGGGTGTGCATGCACATACATGAAACACACACCAGTATGTTTAGGTTGTTTCTTAAATCTAAACATAAGTAAATTTTTGATCATGGTGGTAAATTATGTGAAGGCCAACTTATAACAAAATGAGTATGATTATTAGAATAATTTGCATAAATTTCTTTCCCAGAAATGGGGCTCAAGATAATGAAAAGTGATCCTCCTTAGACATAATGCTCCAATTCTTACTGCAAACATGATAGCCAGGCATTCAAAGAAAGTTCTTCTTTTGAATTGAAGGATGAAGGCAGACTATTGCTATAGTTTAAACCAATCAAACCCAGACAAAAGAAACTACACCCACACAATACAACATTTTCTCACAGGTGATTGGCAATTCACTTTGTGGTCCTAGCTACTCAGGAGATGGAGATCTGAACACTCCAATTTGAGTCCAGACCAGTCAGGAAAGTTTGTGGAACTTTTATCTCCAATTAATCACCCAAAACATTAGAAGTAGAGCGGTGGCCCAAGTGATAGAGCACCAGCCTTGAGGGAAAAAGCTAAAATAACAGCCAGGCCCTGAGTTCAATCAACCCCCATTACTGCCACCAAAATTAGCCTCATCATTTTTATTGTTTTATTTTTTAAGTTTAAATTTTATTGGAAAGATGATGTACAGAGGGGTTATAGTTACATAGGCATTTTTTTCCACTTTATCCCCTCCTGACGTCCCTTCCTCCCAAGCTGTAAGGTTCATTTCCAACATAGCGTCTAGTGAGTATCACTGTTGAATTGGGTCATCTAGTGTCCCACACCGTTTCTGTAATTCCCCTTCCCTTCCCCCTGTCAGATAAACTTATAATCAAGATAAAGTGTAGAGAAAGAAGAAACAGTGACGACATGGAATAAACCAAAGGAGAAAAAAGAAAGAAAGAAGAAATAACTGCAAACAGTACAATAAAAAAACCTTTTGTTTCCATTTCTTGAAGTTCATTTCGATAGACATCATTTTATATGGTCCTATGTATATAGCTACTGAACCATTGGGATCCTCTCCTATGAATATCCTCCTTTGTTCTCAGGATGCAATTAAATTAAGTTTTGTTTAATACTAGACATTCAGTGTTTCCTTTTCAAATTTATTGCTGAATGAGGAATTTTGTAATAAAGAATTTGGTCTCCTCGATTTGATCCCTTACATACCTGTGCATTTTCTCTTTCCTGTATCTTTCATTACTCCTAACTTAAGGTGCTTGCAATCTCCTTTTCCTTTGAAGCATTCTACATGTGCTTGTTGGCATGGGCTTTCTGAAAGTCCAGACCTTGAGGTGATTCTACTCAGTGAGATGAGGGCTTCCCATGGTCTATACAGGAAAAGTAAACACTGGTGAATTCATTGCACTCCCTAGATTGCTCTCCCTGCAGCTTGGCATGGGCCAGTGTCAGAAGTCCTGTGGTGTCCTTTTGACACAGTCTCTGATGTAGTCCCTCATGGGTCCATGAATAGGAGATGTCTTCCCACTGTCCATGGAGCTGAGGACATTTGTGAAGTGATATAAGCCAGGGATGGAAAGACAGATACACACATGCTTATTATGTAGAAGCTGAAAAGGTGTTCTTGTAGAGAAAAAGACAGGGGTTATTGACGTCTCAGAAGGATGTTGGGGAGGGAGTGTGGAAAGAGAATGAAAACCTTTGAACGTTCTGAAGCACACGAGGATAACTGTGATTGACCACAATTAATTGTGCATTTAAAACCAAAAGTTTGTTGAGAGCATTTTGAATGTTTCCAACACAAAGAAATAAAGTGTTTAAGTGATGAATGTGTTAATTTCCTTGATTTGACCATTACACATTGCATACATGCATGTTACACTGTGCCATGTAAATATACACAATGTCTATGTGTAAATTAAAGATGAAAAATATATGAAATTGACTATCAACTATCAATTAATATACTAAATGTATTTTGATATATTAACTTATTAATATAGTAATATCACTGCAATATAAATTATGTTATTTATTATATCTATCTGTCTTCATTTATTTATTTTAAATGTGATGTACAGAAGGATAACAGTTTCATAAGTCAGGTACTGAGTACATTTCCTTTGGAATAGTGTCATCCCTTCCCTCAGTCTCTTGCAGTCTCTGCCTCCTGTCTCTCCCTGCAAGTTGTATAGATCACTTTTTTCCTGTTAGTAAATTGCTCTTTATGTAGTTGAAGACAATTTTTTAAATATTATATCAGAAATAAATATTAATGGTATGCCTTTTAAACACTAGCACTAAATATTAAATTACACAAAAAGTTAAAATAAAAAGAATTCAACAAAATGATACCTAATTTTAAACAAAAAATTGACAAGCATAACAAACTATAGATCAGTATTTAACAAATATATTGATTTTAACATAAAGGTAGAATTCAGTGCAAATGAATTATATGTAACAAATTGAATTATTCTAAATGCTGATCCAAATTGTCATAACTGAACAAAATACACACAAAGTCTTAAATCCTGAAAGACACTACCACAAATTAAACAAAGAAAATGTTACAGAAAATAAAATGGGAAAACAAAATTGTAGCATGACATGTGACACACTCATGTTATTAAATCTACTTAAATCACTTTTTTTCCCAATCCTGAGGCTTGAACTCAGGGCCTGGGAACTGTCCCTGAGCTTCTCTTGCTCAAGGCTAGCACTCTACCACTTGAACCACAGCACCATTTCTGGCTTTTTCTCTTTATATGGTACTGAGGAATCAAACCTAGGGCTTCATGAACACTAGGCAAGCATGCTACCACTAAGCCACATCCCCAGCCCATATAGATCACTCTTAACACAGTGTCCAGTGAACACAACTGCTGTACTTTTTCACCCTTTCCCCTTGAGGTCTATGCTGTCCCCCCAAGATAGACACACAGAAAAACTGTACAGAAAGAAGATAAAGCAGAAACAAATCACCACAACAAACACTTATTATTTCTATACCTTGGAGTTTGTATATATATATACACACACATACACACACACATATACATATATATTTTCTTTTGGTATGTGAGTATTACAACAGTAAGGGAAAGAAGCTGAATCAGAAAGCTTATGTACTCTGTGGCTGGAGGCAGAAGGCTTTGGGGAAAAGACAAAACAATGGAGGTGACAAACATGTCAGTGATTGCCAGGACCAAGAAGGAAAGAGAGAGGGCAAAAGGGAGGAAAGAAAGGAGTGAGGAAAAGAAAAAAGAGGAAAACACAGGGTATATGGGACAGTGCCATGAAATAGTGTAGGAGGAAAATTTATAGCTAAGAGTGCATGCTTAAAAAAATCAGAGATCTCAAATAAAAAACCGGTGGCACACCAAGCTCTTAGAAAAATAATAACAACCAAACCCCACACTGGTAGATAGAAAGAAGAAAGTTCAGGGAACAAGGAATGAAATAAAGGCTAAAAGAATGATTCAAGGAATCAGGGAAACAAAGGGATGATTGTTGGAAAAAATGAACACAGTTGACAAACCCTTACCCAAATTAATCAACACAAACATAGACTATCAAAATAAACATCATTGTAATTCAGAGGACGATCGGGGTATATGTCAGTCACTTATGTTGCAGTAAACTAGAATATTGAGGCAAATGGATAATCCTATAGATGATTAGGACCTGGCAAATGAACCTATGAGGTATAGAACTACAAACATATGGATAAGAATCAACGAAGGCCTGGAAAGGAGGAGACAAGTGGACAAGCGGTGGGGACCTGCACTAGAGTCCAAAATGTCAGGTCACAATTTGTAGGGGACAGCTATAGCCTGAGGACAGAGGGAGCTTGAGGCTCTGAGGGAGTCCCTGGAGGGGAGACTAGTTTGTCCCGTGTCAAGTAGCATTGTGACAGCAGGATAGGTTGTGGGTGAATGAGTCTGAGTGTCTTAGATGGGGGTGAGGAATGTATGGGGAGACCAGGGCCAGTATAGTCAACAGGGGCTTGGCCTCTGACCAGACAGACCAAGGGGAGACATGCCAGCCTTAGGATTTGCATGATGTACTTCTCTTCCTGTGAAAGAGGCTGGAGTTGGATCCCTGCTTGACGTTTGTCCTCAGGGGGAAGGTGTACTTCCGAAGCACCACATGGTAGAATTCCATAGTCTTCAACGCATAGAATACATTTGCATCATCAGGGATCCTCAGCTCTGTTGGAAGAGGAATAGAAACCTTCGTAACAGGACGGTCTATTATAAGTCAAGTATGAGTTAAGCCCTGAATTCCCTCCAATTCGGGGCCAGGATCACCAAGGTCCTGTGAGTCCTGCCTGGGAACAGATTCTGCTGAAATCTTTCTTGCTTAAAAAAGAATTTTAGATTCTAGCTCATGGCAGTTGAGGGTGGAAATCCACAGGCCATTCTCCTTCTGTCCTCCCTCCTGCCGTAATTATGAACATCTCCAAATACAACAGGCTTTTGCAAACCACCTAGAATAAGCCCTGTTGTACAGAAAACCAGGATTCCATAGACCACAAAAAGAAAGCACTGGAATCAGGTTTCTCACATTGAGTTCCACAGGCTTCCAACCCTGTGTTCCTTAAACAGCTGTAAGTCTTGCTTTTAGGCTCCTATTTCTCCCCAGTCTCCTCTGTCAGGGAATCTTCTAATGTCAACCAAGTCTAGGCTGAAAACATTGTTGCTTCTTATTCTAGTTCCTGAGCCTCCCCAGGCCTGTGACTTACTTGGCTGGGAGAGGAAAACCCCATGCTGCTGCCACAATGAGAATGGTCATGGAGGTAGGAAGGAGGTTAGAACACACCCTGCATGGAAGTTGAAATCAATGCTGGGCATCTCCACAAAGAACTTGATAGATTCTTCAGCCCATTGCAAACTCAACAAAGCAATGACACTATGGCCCAGTATCCTCTGTGTTCCAGGTATATGTGATCACTATGTGTGCTGTATATAATCTGTCTGTCTTCTCTCTTTCCATCTGACTCTCTCTCTCTCTCTCTCTCTCTCTGTATGTGTGTCTATCTCACTGTCTCTATCTCCTCAATCTAACATACTGTCTGCTGGAGGGAGGCTGGTTTTGGCACAGCTGTCTAACTTAGGGCCTTGGCCTTGTTCATGACCAGTTTCTTCAAGTTTTGTGCTCTACCACTTGAGCTGCATCTCCACTTCCTGCTCTTTTGTGGTCAATTGGAGTAAAGGGTCTCAGACTTTCCTGCCCAGGCTGGCTTCAAACCTAGATCCTCAGAACTCCACTTCCTGATCAACTGGGCTTACAGGCCTGATTCCCAGGGAGTTGGCTTCTCAGCTAGTTTTGAACAGGAACTCACAGGCAGAAATTGAGGAACTTTCCTATGGTCTCTGAGATCTCACTAGCTCTCTCAGGGAATGCACTATTCCTTGACTTTGTTCATATTCCTCTTTCTAGAACAGAGAATCAGCTACGAATATGTACTTTGATGAACTAATGTTGGATTAAGGCTGTCAGGGAGCATGATTGGAATGGACTGGGGAAAGTGCAAAGTTCTCATGAGTGTTAGGCACACACATTTTTCAAATGAGCTACACCCAAGTCTCAGGTTCTTTTTGTTTGTTTGTTTGTTTTTGAGCCACAGCGCCACTTCCGGCTTTTTTCTTTTTGCTTATGTGGGTGCTGAGGAATCGAACCCAGAGCCTCATGCATGCAAGGCAAGCACTCTACCACTGAGCCCCCTTCCCAGCCCCAAGTCTCAGTTTCTTTATGAAGTCATGTCTCCACATTGGAGCAAGAGAAAGTCTTTTCTTGTGAGCAAAGACACTGCTCAGACACAGCAGCTGCATTCTCTCTAGTTCTCACTGATGGTCTCTCTGCACTGGCTGTTTCCTCCTCAGGCAGGATAGGGACAGGCATATCCATGTGCTACCAGGGCAGTTAAGAGACTTGCAGCCTCCAGGGCTGGCTTGGGACCTGGTGTCTAGTGCTTACACTTATGCTGCTGTATCTTGGAGGGGAGGCTCTTTCTTCTGCAACCTGAGTCTTTCCTTTCCCTGGCTGTTTGTTTTGGACTCACTTTGATCCTGGGAGATGATCTGCACCAGCTCTAAGTCTTCTGGCTTGTATCTCTGTACCCTGAACTTCCTCATGGCCTTGAGGATGACATCTCGGGTCTTCTCCTGGTTGGTCACCTAGGTCAGAGCAGGAAATTGGCCTTTAGGACTGGTGCCCAGTATGCCCTCTCTGAGGTCAGTGGCCACGGATTCTGTGGAGCTATCTGAATGTAACCAAGAGAAGTCCCATGTGGTGTGATATGGGTGTTTCAACTCTCCCTGAAAGGGTTCTCCATGCAACAAAGATGGTTCTTTCTCCTCGCTTTGTAGAGTCTACCATGTCCTCCCCTCTCTGTGTTGCAACTGTTTGCCCCTTAGGGTAAAAGAAGATGTGTGCATGGTGAAAGAACACACAACGGATTCCACCATCCCTGAGAGAGGTTGGAGCCAGTCAAGTGTCCAGTGCCTCCTAGAAGCCAGGCCTGCTCTGGGTTGGAGGATGCAGTGGTGAGTGACACTTCGTGGTGATTCCTTGTTCTGCTCCCTAAGGTGGAGAGCCCAGAGGAGAGGAAGACATAGTCTCCCCAGACGGCAACTAGTGACAGCCATTCTAGGTTCTGGGTGTGAGAGGGCAGAGTTGGATGGAGTATCCTGGACACCAGACCCAGCAGGATGAAGGAGGGGCTAAGCATGACTTCTGCCTAACTGAGGATCTTGAAGAGGAGAAAGACCTCTGTCTTGTGAGTCGATCAGTTTTGGGTTGGCTCCATGGGGAGCAATACCCAGACTCAGAGAGTCCTGGTCACCTCTCAGACCACAAGTTCACTGTGGCCCCTGACCTCCAACCTACACGTGATTGTGAATGCACACAGCCTCCTAAGAAGTGTCCCTGGGCATTTCTGAGACAGGCAATTTTCTCCCCCAAGAATCACCTTCATTCACTGCTAACCTCTGAACCAAACATCAGTGTTTAAGTCTTAAGCAGGGAAAGAGAAGAATGTCGGTTACACTCTGCCATGCAGATGCCAGGACTTCATGTAGCTGAGCCCCCTTTCTTCCTCCCAGGACTCCTTGCTGTCCCCAACTGGAGGTTCCATTCTCACCTGGAGGCTGGGCATATTTTTTGCCTCCCTCCTTTCAGGTCCAGTTCTGAGCACTGTGATCTCACTCTGTCTCTTGGCCTCACACGGGAAGGGATGGTCCATGGGAAATCCCACAGGTGAGGAGTGTGTTCTGGCAGGTTGAGGACACCAAGGGAAAATCCTTCCCCCTAACGTACCAAGATGCTTCTGCATAAACGTTTGTTTTCCACAGGCAGGATCACCCTGATGACACAGGAGTCTCCCTGCCTGGTATATGGATGCCGGGAGGAGCTGTCACTGGTGTGCCCTGAAACGCAGCTCTGACTGTTTCCTGTGGTGGTCTCAGGTGTGCTGGAGTCTGTGGGTGAGGATTGGCTGGGAGAGGCCAGGTTGATCGCCAAAGTCCCTGGAATGGACTGGCAGGATGATGCCTTGAGCTGTGGGGACAGCAACATCAGGAGAAGTCCCAGTCTCAAACCAGGGCTAGGCCTTTCCAGAAGTGTACAAGGAGCTGGACTGTCCTGGTGGGCACTGGAAAGGAGGACTATGGGAAAAGCAGGAGGTCACCTTTTCCTGGTCTTCTGAGGATTCTCCCATGAGGCTCTTGTTGAGCTCCGGGTAGGAGCTGGAGGAGCCAGCTGACTTCCCAGTGCTGTCGCAGTGCACTCCAGTGTTGTTCGTGCTGCTGGTGTCAGGGCCACACTTATCTTGCTCCAACGGCTTGAACTGGGAGCTGCCACTGGTACTGAGGCCAGTGCTCTGGGCCTGACAGCTTTAGAGAGGGGCCGGCTTACTGGAGGGAGGACACCCCCTAACGCCTGATCCCCTTTCCACTGGGAGCCTGGGACTCCATCCTAGGATCTTGGTCAATCACCATTTTCCCATTTCCCTCTGTGATGGATGAGCCATGAAAGAGGAGGCAATGGAGGCTCAGAGAGCCAGAACTGAGTGGCAGACGTGGGCTGCCCCTTGGAAAGACCTAAGCCTGGGCCTGTCTGGCACCCGCATCCCAGCCCATTGGCTTCCCTGACCCTTGCTCATCAGGGTCCAGGTCCTTACTTCTTGCAGACCTTGCAAATGCCAAAGTACTTCTTGGGAGGAAGGCTTGCAGTGTCAGTCTGCCTCTGGGGCTCCAGTGCACATGACAGGTCATAGCTAAGACAAGGGTGGCTCTGAGGTGACCAAGGTTGATGCTTGGCATCCTCCCATTGCCTGCCTGCAAGTCAGAGCCTGCTGCCCAGCTCCTGCCCACCCTATGTAGTGTGAGGCCTCAGGTAAAGACCTAAGGCCCTCAGGATGTCACCCCATCCTGTGTGCCAGGCTCCAGTCACTGGTCCACTGTCCTCCCAACTCACCTGGCTTCCTCGCTGAGCCGCTCCAGGCTCCTGAACCAGGCCAGAAATTTCTCATTTGGTGTGATATGGTCATAGCTGCAGCTTGACTGTAGCTGCTTCAGTTGCTCCATGATTGTATATTCCTGGCCGGCAAAGCATGAGGATAGGGAATAGGTTTGTGTGTGGTGGCCGGGGAATGACCCACTTGCGAGGATTGTGCTGGGAGTCTCTTGCTCAGGGTGGGTAGCAGGCTGCTCTGTGCTGTCATATCTGGGTCTACACGCAGTCACAGTGGGAGCTCTGTGGGCTCCCACTTCACACTCCCAACCTGCCTTCTGGAAGATCTTGTCTCTGCACCAAATGTCCCCATACATCACAGGGGCTGGGGAGGAAGTGAGCTGACTCCATTGCTGGTCCCCACCCACTCAGGAAGGGCCCCTGAAACTCACCTTTCGCAATTTCTCATAATGGATGATTCCCTCCTAGAAGGCACACAGCAATGTGAGTAGCAAGCAGTCCCTCCTCCAGTTCTCTGTATGTCAGGGGTTGCTCCATCTCCAGGGGGGTGGGGGCTCCTCCATGAGACTAAGGACATCTGTCCTGTGGGACCTGGACACCTGGCCCAAGAGATTCTGGGACCTAATTGTTCAACACGTCTGAGACATTGGAGAGACTGAGGCTTCAGGTGAGAAGGCTCACTGGCCCACAGTTTGCCTCTGCTTTGTCTCTCTACTGTCTCCTCCATCCAACCCTTCCTTACCCCCACTCCCCCCAGAGGGACTGGCAGTGCCCACTGTGCCCTGTTGTCTATACCTTAGGGCTCAGCTTGGCATTTTCTGTCCCAGCCCCAACCTCCAAGTTGGGCCGAGGCTACTCACATCCAGGAAATCCCTAAAGGCAGTGTCAATCATCCTGAAGTCTGATAGGAATGTTTCCAGGTAGGGAATGGTGCCCTTGATCCTAACCTGTGGGATTGGGTGGGCTGATGAGCAAAGGCCTAGGGGCCCTCCTCCCAGGGCTTCTTAGCCAGCCTCCATCCTCACAGGGCCGTTCATGGAAGAGTAAGTTGAGGAACCTCTGGCCACCTCTGTCAGAGCCCCTTCTTGGCATTTGGCACTGCAAATGGCATCAGGTTGGCGATTGCACATCCCCAAGGTAGGCAGCCACTGAAGCCCCCCCCCCCCGCCACATAGACGCTGCCATACTGGGTCAGGTGGCTACCACTCCTCTGGTAGCTTCTCAGGACAAGGGATTGCCACAGTGAGAAGCCCATGGCTATGGGGTTATTTTAGGCAGGAGGGCAAAAGGTGAGAAGGGCAGGTGCATGTCACTTCTCTCTTCTCTCGGGCATCCTTGGTGCCTTTAGGACACAGTCACTCACCGTCTCCTCTGACTGCCTCTGGCCTCTCTTGGCCTTCTTGTCCTTGGAGGCAAAGTCGCAAGGCTCCTGTCATGATTGAGAGGAGAGCAACTGAGGTAGGTGTCCTCTTATCCTTTGTCCCCAGCCCTGGGGACATTGAGAGCCCTGGACATATGTGCCAAAGCTCCTGCCAGCTGGCTGCTCATTTCTAGTTCAGACTCTGCTCCAGCACTCACTGTTGTGGATTCCCAGGGGAGTGATCTGCCCTCCCTCTGTCTGCTTCTTCATCTGCAAGGTGTACATGCAAATCTCCAGTCAGTGAATGCTCCTGTTTGTGTCTGGTCCTGAGAGGAGTTGGATCCCAAAGGGAGAAGGCCAAACAATGTGCTAGGGGATTTGAGGTGTGCAATCTGCTGCTGCTTTCCAGAGAAGCTGCTGGAGAAGTGTGTGAAGATGTGCTCCATGAGTTTGTATGAAATTGTCTCTCATTTCTCCTTTTGTTTATATATATTTTTTATTTTTGTGGTTCACAGTAGTAACCCTTGAACTACCACTTCATTTCTGGGTATTCATGGTTAATTGAGTGCTATGGATTTGGCTCCCAGTCATTTGCAGATAGGATTGCAGGGAGGAGTCAGCAGTGCCTGACCACCCTTGCCATGGAAGTAGCCAAGTTGCCCTTGGCTCCCCTGTGTAGTGTGGCCATCAGCAGTGTCTGATCTAGGAAGATCACCGAGAGACAGAGCTTCTCTAGGTAAACCTGCTGAGTCTGGATGTTTGGATCCAAACCTAATGGACACCAGGTCTTTTGGCCCCTAGGACAGCCCTGAGATATCCCATGCCTCACCCCTGAGCAGTGCAGCTAAGAAATTAGTGCCTTCAGAACTTAGCACCTTCAGCAGAAAGGCATCAGTAGCTTCCGACTTTCATAGTAGCCCTCAAGAGGCTGAGATCTGAGGATCCCAGTTGAAAGCTTGCCTGAGCTAGAGTCAGTGAGACTGTGATCTTGAATTAGTGAGACTGTGATCTTGAATTAATTACCAAATACTGGATTGGAGTTGTGACTGGAATGTTCTGGTAGAGCACCAGCCTTGAGCACAAAAGCACAATGACCGCACTTATGCTCCAGAATGGGCTCCAGGCAAAATGAATAGAACTTGCTATTGGAACTGTGTCTGTCTTGTGCCCCCAAATCCCTCTTTCTTCTCTGCCCACTTCCCACTACCTGGAATAGCAGCACTTTGGTCCTGAAGTAATAGCACGCAGGAGAAATGATCTCTGAGAGCTTCTGGAATACCTGCAAGCTGTCTCTGCAGGAGGGGCAGAGAGAAGATGACAAATGGGGAGGTGAGAGAGAAGGGACTGGGACTTCATCTGGCTGTAGAACCAGGCCTGCCAATTCCCTGGACACGAGGTTTCCAAAGGATTGCATGGAGCCCCCAATGACCCAGGAGCCTGGAGCGACTTCTTCATCCTGGCCCGGTGGAGGCCACCCCACTTGCGTTAGGCACCTCTGCTTGGATTCCAACTGGACAGAGATCTCTGACTGCCACCGCAAACCTGGGAAGCTCATGGGTCTCTGTCCTGCTTGAGGCAGACAGGGAGCTGAACGCTGCCAAAGGGTGAACAAGCAGAGCGTAGGCAGCAGCCCAGGTCATGCACAATTGGGCGTGGGGCTGAATGAGGGTCAAGCTGGCCAGGCCTTGTGTGTCCACAGCTCCTGTGGAGAGGGAAACCCACCTGGAGACCTCATGCCATGTGTTCTGCATGCGCTGCATGGCTGTGCTCTGCAGAGCAGAGACGATGGCGTGGAGGGAGGAGAAGTTCCTCAGGACTCGGCATTCCTGCAGAGGAAGACTGTGTGAGGCTTGCCTGCTATTGCGGCCACCCCATGTCCTGCTCCCCACTGGCGGAGGGATGCTAGGGAGCTCGGAGAGATTTGGCAAGGCACGAGAACTGACCAGGCCCTGTTGGAGGTCTCCCTAAGTTCTGAGTGCGAGGAAGGAGTGAGCACCAGCCGCTTGCTGGATGGGCTGTGGGTGGCCAGGCAGCATGGCCCTCACAATGAGGGACCACAGAAAGCTCTGAGCACAGTGCAAAGACTCAGAGTGCAAGAGGTTAAAGGGAGAGTGCCTGGGCAGGGGCTGTGGCATACCATGGCCACCATGATCCAATGCTCCAGCACACGCGCCCTGTTGCAGGCCTGCATGCTGTGATCTCCAACGCAGGTGGTGAGGACGCAGGAGAAAACTCTGTGGAACTGTGTAAAGGTGGCCCGGATGGTGGGGGCCAAGTTCTCCATGTCCTTTTTGTCCCTCTGGGAACAGACAGAGAGCAGGCAGTGGTGGGGCACCACCTTCTGGAACAGTTCCTGTGAAATGGATGAGTGTCTCTCCTTGGGCAGGCCCAGACCCGAGTAACCAAGTCCAGATTGGCATCCTTCAGTTGGGCCTGGAAGTCAGGCTATGGAGGGGTCGTCTGGAGCTTGTGGGAGTTTCTAGGCATGGTGTGCGCTATACTTGCGTTAGTCTACCTCACCTCCGTATCTGCTGCCCACTGTGACTCTGCCCGTGTGGCCCAGGGAGCATCTGTGCCCTGACCCAGCCACCTCATGGCTGTGTGTTTGTTAGCAGGCACAGATCCTACTTCTCTGGCTCTTTTGATGTCTGTACTAGGCTCTGGTAGACAGCAGGTGCCTAGTGGGTGCTGTGGTTCAAGAGGTGCCTGGCAAATGAGGATGAGCTGTGGGCCAGGTTGCACCTCTGCTCCAGTGCCCCATTTCTCACAGCCCCTGGGAAGGGCCTGGGTGTCATCTCCCCTATAGTGACTGTCCCAGACAGGGTGAGCCATGGTGGAGCTTGGTCTGGATGAAACCTTGGGCTCTCAGGGAAGGAACAGCATGAGAAGGCAGCAAAGTGCAGAAGGAAGTCTGCCCCCCTTCCCCCCCCCTCACGTGCCGTGCCCAGCCCTCACCGCATCCATCCACGTGAGCTGCTCTGCCACCAGCGGGGGAGGGAAGGCCAGGACATCAGGCTTCTCCTTGCTCAGCACATTCTCTGTGGTCCCTGAAGGACAGGAAGCTTTGTGTGAAGGAAAGGATGCTGGGTGCCGCTCTGAATAGATAGATATGTAGGGACCCACCTGAGCTGTGGAGCAGGTGCCCTAATCCAGGTATGGATTAGATACTGTCTTGGGAGTCTACACAGAAGCCACCAGGGAATTGCCTCCAGGCAGGCACAGGATGCTGAAGCTCCCGTGCAAAGTAGCTCCAGAGGGCAGGGGGGAAATGGCTGTCCTTGCACAGCTGATGCTGGTGTTGTCATAGGTTTGCTCACTAGAGACAAGGCTGAATTCGGCCCTTGGTCTGCCCCTGATGATGGTCTTCCCCCTGGGCTGCATGCCAGAGTCAGCAATGGAGCTGGATCTAGCTCTGGACTTGCATTGGGGTTAGTGGTGGAGCTGCAGGAGGAGACACAGCCTCTCCCTTCTTCCGTTGTGCTGAGTCTTTGAGTAGACAGAGGAGACCCTCTTCCCTGTGCCTCCCCAAACTGTCTCCCTCCCCTCCCCAGATCCTATTCTTCACCTTCCCTGCTCCCACTCTGTGTTTCAGGCTCCTCTTTCCTCCTGGGTCAAGGCCAGGTTTGGAGCCTGCTCCCAGTGGGGGTCCACACCATTTGCTCCCTATTTTCTCTGCATCCCAGTCCCACATTCCACACCATCAGGCTCTGCCTGGCTGTGCTCTTGGGCCTCCATCTGAGCCAGGAGAAGGTGGGCACGGCCCTCCACGTCCGTTCCTGCCATGTAGACCTTCAGATGAGCCAGGAGCTGCCTGAGACAGGGAAACTGCGGAGGCTGGCAGAAGTCCTCCCAGTACTGATCCAGCCACATGCCCAGGATAGATGAGATGGCACTAGGGGCAGATGGTGGGCATCAGAGTCAGAAACCTGGGCCAGTGCTCCCACACTCCCAAGCCACACTCAGCACCCTTGAAGAAGCTGGGCATAAGTGCCTTGTCTGTCCATCCCGAGGCTAGAACATCCCATCCCAGGCAGCTTTGGTGGTGAAGGTAGTGGCAGGCCAGAGAACCAAGTAGGGACTTGAGGTAATGTCCAGGCAGCCAGCCCACAGTCAATGTTATGAGCAGCTCTCTTCTCTCCAGGAAGCCCCACAGCCTCCTGCCTCTCTCCAACCTGTCCCAAATGACTATAGTGTCCATGAGGGTTGGTTGTATGCCTGGCATGCACCGTTTCCTGTTTCACATCAGCTGGTGGCTCTGCTGCCTCAGTCCTTATGAGCCGCATGTGGGCTGTCTCCCCACCACATGCTTCTGGTTGGCCAGCCTGGCCCTGCACTCTCACCGACATTCCTAGGATCAGCTGAGGGCCTATGACTATGCAGCGATAGCCTGACCCTCCTTGGGAGCCCCTGGCCAGGGAGGGCAAGCCTGGGCTCTGTGGGCTCTGGGGAGGATGGACTGTCACAGGACTCAGCTCTGAGCTGAAGCCTCCACCAGTGATCCCAACAGCACCCCAGTCCACAGCTTTCCTCCTCCTGCAGAGAAAGTTCACACATTGGCCCTCTGGTGAGAATCCTGAGTTGTGTGTTCCAGTGCTTGCCTATACCCCAATTCTCAAAACTGGCACCATTGTGGGGAAAAAATGCCCTCTTTGGAGACCCAAGTTCACTCACTTTCTGAGTTGGTCCTGTTGCATGCCATCCTGGCTGGAGCAAGGGAGGATTTCATCCTGTTTAGAAGACTCCTGGAGAGCCTCACACCTAGTGAAAGTGTGAGGAATTTGAAAGTTACTGGCTGTCTGTCCATGTGTTGAAGCCTGCCTGCAACCATCAGGATTTTCTAGGTTCAGTGCCTGGGAACGGCTTCCTCTCCATGCAGTGGAGGAGGACTACCAGTCCCTCCCCTGATAATCCTGTGCTTCCTTTAGCCACCCTTGCTCTGTCTACATCTTGGTTAGAAACCCTTCTCCTAAATGGACAGACTGCTTTGTCTGAAGGCATTTAGCTGTTTCCTGAGGAGAAGGCCACAGACATGAGCCCACACTCCTGGGTAGCACACAACACAGGGGCATGCTTGGCAAGCGCTTCCAAATCTCATTTTACATGGCCCTGGCACAGTCTCTGGTCACCTCCACTTCCCAGGATCCTAGTAGCCCTCAGAGAGGGGCAGGTCATTCCCCAGGCTCTGTCTGGAGCAAAGGAGTCCCCTGACCTTGGAGTTGTTGCTCACCTTTGGAACAGCAGATCCAGTACCTGCTGGGGTTTGGCAAATTTTCGGTAAGTGGATAGGAAGGTGGGGACGAAGAAGTGGTCCCCGGTCAGCTGGGCAGGCACCAAGTGATCCACCAGCTGCTCCAGTGTGCCTGCCCTGCAGGCCTCCTCCTGGCTTGGGGCTACATCCTGCAGTGGGACCAAGGAGGAAGAGTTAGGTTGAAACTAGGTGACCAGAGAAGACTCCTTGCCATACATTACAGTGAATGACTTGAAAAGAAATGACTAATCACCCACACGTGCACATGCATGCATGCACACAAGCATAAACACACACACACACACACACACACACCATACATGGAGGGGAGTGCTGACGATGGTCAGGAGAATCAGGTGTGCTGTGCTGTTTAGTCATTCACTGCCCTGGGCCTCTCCATGTCACCTGTGGGGTCCTAGCGCAACATCTCCAGAAGTGTCTGTGTCCAGGGCTGGCCCAGGGTCTACACACATGGGCCACGCACCCTCTCCTCTCTTCCTGGAGGCCTGAGGCTCTATGATTTTTGAAACACCCGGCAAGCATCTCCTGGATGTCGGTTAGCCATACCAGTGAGCTGCGTGAGGCGTGTGTTGACTGTGGCTGCCGGGATACCAAGGTTCTAGGTTGCATTCTGAAGGAAGTGAGGTCATCCCTGGAGGTCCCTTCACTTGAGCCCTTCCTTCTGACAAAACCTCCCCAAATGGCTCCTCCTCTCACCTCCTACTTGCCCTGAGCATGAACACATATCTCCACCCCACTACCTCGTCCCCAGGTAGGCCTGGGGACTGCAGACACCACCTTGGAGGAGATCCAGGTGGGTCCTAGGCCTCCTGGTGCCCAGGCCTGTAGCTATTTCCCCTCAAGTTCAATTATACACGGCACATGAATTCTCAGAAAGGCAGTTTTCACTTTTGGGTGGCTCTGTCTCTCCCTTGTTCCTTATTCCTCTCTCCTTCCTTCTGTGTCTCTCCCGTCTCATCTCTCATTCTAAGGAATTCTGTGAGACACTATGGGTTTCCCAGTGAACAGGCCTAGGGCTCAAGCTCAACCATGTCCCAAGCAGCCGAGAGAAAAGCACTGAGGCTCAGCCCAAAGTATTGTGGCCACTGACACAGAGTCTCTCTCTATAAAGGACACAGCCCCTTCCTCATGAGGACCTGAGAGTTGAGGCCTGGGATGAACAATGTCTGCCTGTGGGAACAAAGCAACTGTGACTTCCTCATTGTGGGGCTGTCAGCAGTGGGTTATGGGAAAGCTTTTCAGCAGGGACAGCTGATGTCATTTCCAGGCCTTGGAATCAGCCTTGGCCATTCCCCCCCTTTCCTGTCTCTTCAGCCACACTGGCCTCTTTTCCAACATGGACACATCTGTGCTTCTGTTCTCTACGAAGACTCCAAGTTTGTAAGTCAGAACTTTATTCTGCCCTCTCAAACTGATTTGAGAATTCATCTGCTCACTTTGAGTTATAAGTAGGTTCAGACAGGCCTGAGTGTGGGAACCCACGGCATAGCCACATCCCCATAGCAAGAAGGCTTGTGAATCCAACCGAGCCGCAAGGAAAGCTGACCACCACGCAGCAATAAAAGACTCCACCAAAAGACTGAATAGTGGACACTGGGGAGATAAAAGCTTCCTCAAAGTTTTCACTTTTGGGTGGCTCTGTGTCTCTCCTGCCTTCTTTTCCTCCTTGTCCCCAGAGGGCTTGTCCTGGGCATGAGAGGCTGGATGGGGCAGTACGTCCTCCTATGGGTGGTGAGAGGATAAGCCAGCTTCCTGCCCATGGTCAGGGTGCAGAGGTTGCGATGCAGGCTGACTACAGTTGGACAGTTTGGATCCTACATGCTGTTGGCTGTTGCCAAGATCCCCTCACACACTGTGTTGCCACAATTGGACACCACTGTTCTGTTGGTGTCTCTTTTTTGACCAGGCAGGTCTGAACAGGGATGCTCGTATTTAATGTCTCCAGTGTGGCTGGGATGACAGATATGAATTACCAAACCCAGCTTTTGTTTTTGTTCTGTCCTGGTGCCAGCTCTGGTTCTTGAATTCAGGATCTAGGCAGTGTCTCTCAATAGTTTTGTTCAAGGCTAACACTCTATCACTTCAGCCACGTTTCCACTTGTAACATGTTTTTAGTCCATTGGAGATAAGTCTCAGGAACTTTTCTGGTAGAACTGGCTTGGAATCTTGATCCTCATATCTCAGCCTTCTGAACCGAAAGGATTACAGGATGATGCAATTAGACAAGTCAAAATGAAAAAAAAAATACAATCTTATTCACAGACAAACAATTAGGGATCAATGCACTAAAGAAAACAAAGGAGGAGAGAAGGGCCAGAAATAAAGGAAAATAGGCTACAATGAAATTAACAGAAATATTAAGAGATTGTTGTCACTAGAGGGAGAAGCAAATAAAAATAGAAGAATAAAGAATGGGAAGGAAACAGAAAGAAGAGAATTAAGACCTGCAAAAAAGAAAAAAATTATATGTAAAAATAATAATATAAAATTTAAAAATACTAAGAATAATAGAGAAATAGAACATTGAACATCAAAAATATAGCCATAATATGCACACAATTAAGACAGAGGCCTAGTAATCACTGTAGACCGTATATCTAAAACAAAACAGCAATGAAAAAGGAAACAAAAAGAAAAAAAGTGTTTTCCAATTTGTTTTTTTTATTGTGAAAATACTGTACAGAGGGGTTACAATTACATGGGCAAGATAATGAGTACATTTCTTATCAAGCGTTGTAGCCTCCTCCTTTGTTTCCCCTTCCCATCCCTTCCCATCTCCCACCCCCCAACCCCTGCCAAAGTTGTAAAGTTCGTTTTTCGACATAATGACTTGTACGTCTCATTGTTGCAATGGGTCCGCCTGTATCCCTATTTAAACGATTTGTTTTTTCCCTTCCCCTCCACAAATTATAACAACATCAAATACAGTGAAAGCAGGGGTTATATCTTGGGGGAGGGACATACAAAGCAACAAAGAAATAATCTTATAAATGTGTTAGAAACAATCGTATGAAAGAAAAAAATGTTTGAATACATATCTTAGGGTTCATTTCCCTAACATCAACTTATGTGGTATATATATATACACAATGGAATTCTATGCCTCCATCAGAAAGATTGACATTGCCCCGTTTGTAGGAAATGGAAAGACTTGGAAAAGATTATATTAAGTGAAGTAAGCCAGGCCCAAAGAAACATAGGTCCCATGGTTTCCCTTATTTGCAATAACTAGTGTTTTTCAATTTGTTTGAGGACTCTTTTCTCTCCCTGATGTCCACTATTCAGTCTTTTGGTGGAGTCTTTTATTGCTGCGTGGTGGTCAGCTTTCCTTGCGGCTCGGTTGGATTCACCAGCCTTCTTGCTATGGGGATGTGGCTATGCCGTGGGTTCCCACACTCAGGCCTGTCTGAACCTACTTATAACTCAAAGTGAGCAGATGAATTCTCAAATCAGTTTGAGAGGGCAGAATAAAGTTCTGACTTACAAACTTGGAATCTTTGTAGGCCTCTTCCCAGCCTAACTTAGTGGGAGGAAGGATTTGCTGTGTGTGGTAGACCAAGAGGGATGTGGCTGTTTTCTGCCCCTTAGAATCTCTGCAGAAAGCGTTGGTGTGGGTGGGACTGTGTCATCTAGAATCCGTGGCTTTCTCTAGAGTGGTTAGCACCCAGGCCCTCTTTTTAGCCCAGCCTGAATTCGCCCGCAGCTTTTCCAACCTGTCCAGTCTAGCGAGATTTCAGATTCTTTTGGCTTTGTAATTCCAAGGTGCCAAGCTAGCCATGGGCTGAGCTGTCATGTATCTGAAATGTTGAGCTTGTCTTTCTTCTTTGCTGTTGAGGGCCGAGGGCTGCCTCTCCCTGGACAGGGCTACCTCCCCTCTTGGTGTTTCTTTTTCTTTTCCACCAGAGAGGAGAGGTGTAACCACCTCAGATTCCTTTGCACTCTTCAAAAATATTGATGCTTCCCTGGCAAGTCTTGTCAGCCAGATGCTCTGCAGGCTCTAGGCCACTTCCAAAGATGGTGTGCTTCCCGAGGAGCAGGAGGGTTTCCTTCCAGAGGAAGGGAGGATGGCTTTTGTGAGGTAATCACACTTTCCCTTGGTGTGTTGGACCATCTGCTATGTGACGAATTGTCTCTGCACCCCTCTGTGGCTGGCTGGGATGTGGATTCCCATTCCCGGACTTGAAATTCATGCTGGAGGTGAGTGGAAAACTCATGGGCACGTGATCGCTGCCACTGCTGCTGCCATCTCTACTGTGGCTCCCTAGGCCACCACCATTGCCAGCGGGCGCTTACATCTGTCTTCTTATGCAGGCAGCTTACAACTTCCTTCTTTGATCTAAATCTCTGTATAAATATAGCTTTCAGAATGGGACTGTCTAGATGCACATAGCTTGGTGGGACCCCCAAAAAACTCTGCATCTTCGGACAGAGCTCTGTTTGTCCCCTGTTAACTTCCTGCCATCTTACCTATACCATCTTTTTTCATTTCTATATAGGGTTTTTTTTTGGAATATCTTACTTTTATGATTCACTTCAAATAAAATGTTATTTCTACTGAATTAAAGGTTTGTTGAAAATTACAGTTTGTGTTGAAGTAATATGATTGTTAATCCATTATAAATTATTATGTTTTTAAATTTTTAATTTTTATTGTGAAAATACTGCACAGAGAGGTTACAATTACATGGGCATCCATTATAAATGATTGAAGGCTGACATTTGTTCAGAACTAATTTGTGACCTTATGCAGATGACTTTACCTCATTGCATTTATTTTCATTATTTCAGAAAAGGAGGAAAATTATACTGTCCCATTTGCTGTTAGCCAATGTGGATGTGATAATGCTATCAGGAGATTGGTATCATTAAATTAGGCACTGGAGAGTGCCAATGAAGGATAAGTAGAAAGCTGTTCAGACAAATTCATCCTTATTACTGGCTAGGTAGCAATGGCAAGGCCAATATGTATTGCTTTGTTCCTAGACTAGAAGAAGGCCCACATAGCTAGCTCTGCCCTAGTCTTTTTTTTTGGGGGGGTCCGGTCATGGGACCTGAACTCTGGGCCTGGGCACTGTTCCTCAGCTCTTCAGCTCAAGGCTAGCGCTCTACCACTTGAGCCACAGCGCCA